GAGAGAGAGAGAGAGAGGTCTCTGCAAGAATAAATGATGAGAACAGAGGGGGGTCCCTCCTTTATAATAGGCCTTATGGCCTAGGGTATGCCAACTTCTAATGGGACTCAAATTTGACTGAGGAGTTCTAGGATGAAAGAATTAAATCTGAACCATCCATTCCTTAAAACGCTCATCATGGTCAAAGAGGAATCCTAGAACCATTGTCCCTCAGATCCTTGACCCATATCTACTTCTTCTTAGACTAGAATTAGGTCTTCAATAGTCCCACATAATTAGAACTGTTTCTATCATAAACTAATTTCATTACAAATTCAAAGTCAAAGTAAAAGGTAAAATTCCAACTAATTTTCAAAATCAAATATTCTCATAACTATAAATCTCATATTAAGATTTTCTTTAAGTTTATAGTCCTTAACAAAGACATAATACCATGGGGCATCTCTACACTAAGGTTGGACATGTGGACCAAGTGAGGCCCACATCCTCCCCATGTGAGGCCCCAAAGTGTGGGGTTGGGCCCTTGGCCCCCACGTGGGTCCCAAAACGGCCCACACAATTTTATAATCTTAGAATGACCCTTTTAGGGGTTTTGTGCATAAAATAAATTTCTTAAAATTCTGAAAATTCTTAAAAATCACAGATTCATAAATAAGGTTACAAATTTATATTTTTGACATTTCAAAAATTTGAAATACAATTAATACAAAACTAGAAGTGGATTGGTACCATTGGGTCAAGAATAAGTGACATTTCAGAGGCACTCCACCTATGCTAGAATTCATGATCCACAACAACCTTCTCAAACCAAGCAACAGAACCCATGACCCACAGTCAATCGCAGGGGCTCATGCTAGACAATAAATAGCAACACCAACAACCTAGTGCCTGGATTACAGGTTCCCCCACCAAGAGTAAGTCATATCAATAAGAATGCAAATGGACACATATTACTAAAGTGCAAGGGGTACACTCTCTTATCAACATGTACCACAATCCCCTCTCTATAGGACTACTTCTCAGAATGTGGTTATCATGCATACATGTCCTGCGGTGGTTGTTGAGGATTTGGCCCTTTGCCTCATATGCCCACAACCACACAAAAATCCCTTTCCAGCTCTCTTTATCATCCTTGGGCATCTCTCCTACCTCAACAAGAGATGACCTACTAAAACCCTCAACAGTAGTGCCTATGCCCATGGTTGAGGGTTTTGGAATGGCCTTGGCCCATAGACTGCCCAACATCAAGGTCAATCAACCAACAATCCCAATAGAAAGTGAATATCCATAGTAGAATATTTATTCACACGATCTCAAGGCATTTAAAGGCCAAAATTTCCAACAATATTCATATTTATAGTGGATGCCCTTTGAGATGCCACGGTTAATTTATATTCTACATATCACATACTGGTTTCCAATTTCCAGTGTTTGCATGTTACTCCAAAAATCCAGCCATGCCTTGTTAAAATAATTATTAAAAAAGACAATTCAACCAATTAGATTCTCTCATAATATTGGAAATTTGTTCCCACCACCTTCCTTTCTTTTTATGGTACTTTCTTCTTCTTGTGGTAAGTAATCAAGACAGTTCTCCTTTTCAAGATTTTCATTTGGTGGAAAAGTCTGGCTCAATTTACCCAATTGCAATTTTAATTTCATGGTCATATAAGAAAAGGGCAGCGACCTAAGAATAACAAATCAATTATAACTAAGATATACTTTCTTCGCTGCTTATTGAGATGCACATGGGATTCAAATGGCGTGAAAAATTAATCCAGTGGCTTTAGAGCTATACCTATAGTTGGGCAGAGGATCTTCACTCTATACCTATAGTGCTGCCATTTTTTCTTTCTCTAAAGGACAAGTGCTACTAAATAACTAATTCTCTCTTCTTTTTTGTCCCATTTTTTTTTTTTTTTTTTTCAGGTTTGGCAATATATACTAGCACTGAGCTATTCTTCTCAGCCCTTGTTTTAAGGCTTTGAATGCCTTACGCAATGGAAAAGGTAACACAAAAAAAAAAGCAACAACAACAGTGGATTTTTATGGAAGCTGTAATATTCACAAAAGTAAACTTATAATAATGAGAATCCAAACCTCTTTGACACTCAAAGCTGCTCCACCTCGAGAGTCTCCATCCAGTTTTGTTAGAATGGTCCCGGTAATTCCAATTTCAATGTTGAATGTTGTGACTAATGCTACACAAGCAAAAGAAAAAAATCTCAAATACAAATGTGATCTGCAAATTTGTATAACATGACATAAAAATAATATTTCCATTGCTCTGATCCACCATCTAAAGCTTGTAAACATCAGAGTGCATAGAGATGGAAGTCAAGTTTGCTACATAATCAATGAAATCAAACAAAAATGGTGACTTCTACCGTTTGCATAAAGGTAAGTTGTGCAGAGCACTATGGAATTTCTCAATTTATCTTCACTTACCATTTCATAAAAGGTTGGGATTATGATATCTCATGCTGACCCAACTTTAAGGAGTTAAGAACTTTCCATTGTGTTGGATTGAAGTCCTTGATTAGCAACTTTTCCTGGGTTGAAGTTCCTTTAGAGAGACGCTTTGATGCCGAACCCAGCCAGGGCGTATCCCTGTCTGGGACTCCCTCCGCTGTACCACAATTATTCCCATCTCATCCACTCCAAAGCCCCTCCCCTTTCTCTCCCCATTAACCACAGGCAAGTCTCCATCCCTCCCCCTCCTACCTTGCTGCCCTCTCAACCTGTTACTATCCCCTCTCTACCTACCTCTGATTCCATTAGATGCTCCCCTATCCCCCCCAATCCTACCCTGGCTGTTCTACCACCCCCAACCTCCTCCGCATCAGTGGACCACACATCTCAGCTCAAACCCAGTCCCCACAATCTTGCATGACAGGGAGATTCACCCCCCCCCCCCCCCCCCTTTACCAAAGATGACTTCAGAAGTATAGAAAGGTGGACACATAAACTCTGGGATGAGCCTAACCTTGGCTTCCACCTTCTCTCGAGCGGCGATCTTCTATTCTTCTTCCCTTCCAAAGCTAGCTCAGACAGAGCCCCACAATGGAAAAACCCCTCTTTAAAAGGAGCTTCTCTTTTGCTCTCCCGGTAGACCACTAAGCATGGAGCTACTCGTCCCCAAAGGATGTGGCTTCGGGTCGCTCACATCCCTTTGCAAGGCTGGCATCAATCGACTTGATTATTGGTGACATTTGTGGGAACTTCATTTTTATCCAGCGGAAATCCCTAGAATTCTTGCCCCTAAGATCCATCCAGATCCTCATCGATACTGTGGACCTCAACTTTATTCCCTCTTTCCTCTGGCTCGTTATTGAAGGCCCCTTCTTTCGCATCACCCTAACCTAGTAACCAGCCTCACCATCTGCAATTTGCAATTTCCAGGACCACCATCGTGGGCCACACAAGAGCCGCAAACCTGACCATAGTAAGTTGGCTGATCCAGAGGGGTGGACTACTGTACCCCGAAGGCGAAGGAAAAGAGCCCATCGCAACCCTGGAAGGTATGTGGAAGCCTTGGTTAACACGCCTTCTCTGCCTCCCGCCCACCATGCTCTGCTTCTGGCCTGCTCAGTCGTCCCTTCCTCGAGCCCCTCCATCCACATGTCACCAGCCTCTCCCCTCGTTCTGGTGGGCCAATAAAAGTCACCCTCTCAAGTGCCCCCTTCACAACCCTGGCCTTAGCCTACTGTCACCCTCTCCCATTCGTCCCTCCCCATCATCTCATCATCCTACAATGCACCGGTCTCCTCCCACCCTGCCAATCCTAGTCTCTCCACGTGCCCATCAACTCTAATCTCGATCGTCCATCCTGAACCCCATCGCTCCTTGTGCCACCGCCCCCTTCTCTCTCTCCTCCCCTATCCTTCCCCTCTCTTCCTCCAAGTGTAACACTCCCAGCCAAAGACTTCGCTCCTCCCTCCAACATACATTCTCACCTACTCCCTCTCCTTCCCCTCAGTTTCCACTTCCACCCCCCTTTCTTGCCTCCCCCATCCACCCACGACTCGAACAGCAAGCAGATTGCCTCGGCCTCACCCCGCTCCACACACCCCCCCCCTCCCTCGTCCCCTGCGTCCGCTATCACACCTTTGGAAGTCGCTTCCCTTCAATCGTTGCTCACCCTTGTGCCTCTTGTGGCAGTGGCCTTACGGCTTGACAAATCTCCTCTATACGTCGAGGCTCCCCAGGTTACCCCAACGTTGCTTGACAACCAGCCAAAGGAGATACCCCCTCCTCTAGAGCTTTCATCTACCCTTCCACCTCTCATTGATCTCAAGGTCCTCAACTCTTCCTCCCCCCCCTTGCCCTCCATTATCCTCCATTCCCCCTTCCATTTCCATCTCCACCCCTAAACATGGAGTCCCCCCACCCCCCCTTCTACTCCCTAGCCCCCCACCATTGAGACCAGTGCTTACCCAAACCCCCTAGAAGTGCAGTCGGCGCTGAGGCAACCGACGCTGATGATTTGGAATGCCGACACAACCGGCACTGACCCT